AGTTCCGATAATTGCAAGAAGAATCTTTCACCACCGAACTAGCAGCTAACGTCTGCAAATGGACTTCGAGAGCTTTGTCTACCCGAATGGCAAAAAACTCGAAGAAGTCACCAGCTTTTTTCAGAAGCATGAAATCGTCAGAAGGAAAAATCAGTAGAAGAAAGAAGCGGCATGGGCCAGCTTTAACGTATTTAAACATCATTATTCTACTAGCCAGCTACCTTTATGGTGAAGAAACAACTGTTCGGTTCAGAAGTGCTATCCGTCATGATTTACGGCCTTGGATGGTGCTTTGCTGAAGAAGACAAACTAATGGTCACAGAAAGTGATGGGGCGAAAAACGTCGAAAGTCTCCGTCCGCGATCAAGTTTCGAGCGCACAAATTCGACAGAAGACTTGACTAACAGACGAAACTCTGACTTCTACAATGCCAAGAGAGTATGAACCGGTCATGCTTGGCGGCAAGAATCAGAAGCTGGGTTCCGCTGGACCAGCAACGTCGAGTCAGTTGCCCAGGAACACGCTGGCATGACCAGATGATCAAATAATAACCTGGTCAACGGTGGAGGTACAAGGCGAAGGATAAGAAAAGCTTGAAGAGCATCGACTTGTGACCATTGCGCTCCCATAACGAAGACAAGTCGGATAAAGGACGTGCCGTGTTAGCCACTGTCTCTACCACTGCCATGTGAAAAACAACAGTGGGGAGAGGGTGATTAAAACTTGCTAGATTTCGTTAGGCAATTTAAAGGGATTTGTGGTAAGCCGTTACAACTTCGGCAGCGGATACAGAAAGTACGCTACATCAAGCCACACGATGGAAGACAGTATAGTACTTGTGCCATGGTTCGATTCTGCCGCTACATTGGCATATCTGATTTCTGAGAAAATATTTAGTTTACTAGTTATTTATCGAATGCGCAAATAGCAAAACTAATTATAACTTCACTGAGAGCTTGGTTCAGTGTTTTCAAGCCTCCTTCACGTAGAGTCACGGAGCTCATGGACTGCAGTTGGCTATATCCAAATGTAGGGCTAGTTGATAAGCGCTGATGCTTAGAGTCCAATTACCACGTGGTAAGTTAAAGCCTGACTTACAAATCGTAAAGTCTTTAGTAGAAGGCACAACCTCAGCATAATACAGAAGTGCACAGTGACAGCAGATAGTTTTCCTTCATATATTTAAACTGCTACACCAACATGCTAACGAAAAACAGATAAAGGAAGTTCTCTGCCGCAGCTGTGACTAAAACTGCTGAAAACCTAGACACTGCCATTAGCAGTGGTTAACAAATAATCATTCAAAATTAATTATTAAAATATCGACGAAGTAAACTTTGAAAACCATACTACGCTATGACGCGCCGCACAATACGAATGACATTATAAAGAGGTGCAACCGCAAAATCCCCGCAGTGCTACATAAGGATTTTATTACCGTTACTCGAACATTTGTTATACAAGTTCGATCAGTGTTTGAAAGTGAAAGTTAACACTTTTAGTCTGAAGAACATCAGCGAAAGATAATATTGTTATATTAAGCCTGAATGTAAGCTAAACGATCAAATAAAAACATTAAAACAATTAATAAAGCAATTTACAATATTCCATAGCTCGAATTTTGACCAACAGTCAAACTCAGCGCAAAACGCTTAAAATTCATCACGTAGAACACCGACATTGAGTTGATAAACACGCAATTAACTACTCTATAGATAAAATTACACAAAACGTGAAAAGCTCGAAAAATGGAAAGGCTGCTGGGATTGACGAAATCCGCCCTGAGGTGCCAAGGCATTAGGGGAACAAGGAATGTGCTGGCTAACCCGTGTCTGTCAGACTACGATGACTGCGGGAAAGACACCAGCAGACTGGAGAACTGGAGCTATTGCATCCGTATTCAAGAAGAGAGACCACAACGAATGCTCCAATTATAGGGGCATAACGTTATTGAGCATCCCAGGTAAAGTCTACGCGAAGGTGTTAGAAAGGAGGTCCGTGAAATAGTTGACCTCAAGATCCAAGAAGAGCAGTGTGGCTTCCGACCCGGTCAAAGCACCTCTGACCATATATTTGCCCTGTGCCAGATTGTTCGGAAATCGGGGGAGTACCCCCAACCGGTGTACATGTGTTTTGAGGACCTAGAAAAAGCATATGACCGGATCCCACGCACCTGTCTTTGGTCATGCCTTCGAGCAAACGGGATTGATGGTCAGCCAGCTGCTAAGGGCTATCCAATCACTGTATTCTGGTAGCAGGTGCTGCGTCAGATTTAATGGCGTTAAGTCGAAACCATTCAACGTTCGCACTGGTCTCCGCCAAGGCTCTGTCCTATCACCCATCCTGTTGGTGTTGTATATGGATAGAGTAGTCAGAAGCTGCCAAGGCGATAAGGGTATTGGTGTAGGAAATGTGAAGTCGAGAAGGTTGCTGTTTGCAGACGACCCTGTTTTATTAGCATCTTCTGAAAGTGATCTTCAGTGCTCCTTAGATGGGTTTGCAGCCGACTGCAACGTTGCCGGCATGCGTGTGAATGCATCTAAAACAAAAAGCCTAGTGCCTTCTCGTTTTTCTGCCTGCTGATCTCTTCAGATTAACGGAGAGGCAGGGGAGCAGATGGAGAAGTTCAAGTACCTCGGAATTGTATTTACTAATGATGGAAAATTGGAGGAAGAGATCGACCGGTGAATTGGAGAAGCCAGTGGCGTTCTGCGTGAACTAGCTCGACCCATTGTGACTAAAGCAGTGCTCAGTCTGGATAATAATAAGCTCTCGATATTCAAGTCAATTTTTACTCCCATACTTACCTACGGTCACGAATCGTGGACCATCAGTGAAAAACTTCGAACCCGAGCACAAGCTGCCGAAATGAGCTTTCTCAGACGAGTCGCTGGCATCACACGTCTCGATATGATCCCGAATGGTGAAATCCGGAATAGCCTTGGTAAACAGTCTTTGCTTCTCCAGATTAAGAAGTCACAGCTGCGATGGTTTCGGCATGTGTTGCGAATGCCTCCATTTCCTTGAAAATGTGACTGGCAGAAGGCCCAGGGGACAGCTAAGATTAACCTGGTGCAAATATAGGGAAGGAGTCTGTTCCATACTCCATTTGTCTTTTGCCGAAGCTGAGACTCTGGCACAGGGTCGGGAACGTTGGAAGCTCGCTCTGGCGTATATGCCTCCGCGACCCGAAA